TTTTTTTTTTTTTATTAGCATCATCATTATTCCCTATTGCCAGTGATGACACATCAATGGTAGAGCAGCTGAATGAGTTATTATTGATATGAAAAGAAATTGCAGATTATACACCAAAATAGTTACATTGGAAACTTTTCCCAACGCTGCTATTTTCCAGCATGCCCGTTCAACTGAAAATATGCAAATCCTTGTAAATTTTCCAGGATTGGTAGATTTGTTAATATCCACAAGTATACAAGGGTTGAGCCGTTATCAGTGAGATTTCTCTCCAGAACATTTTTCCAGGTGTTTTCCAATCAAAATAGATATAAATCCTTAGTAGCTCAGCTATGGTTTAACCCATTATTTAGTTCAAAGATAATAAAGAAGCTCTGTCACTAAAAAATAAACCTCATCAAATCTGTTTCTCTATAGATTCCTGTAGCCTAAACTCTTAAAGGGACACTATGCTCACCAGAACAACTACAGCTTAATGTATTTGTTCTGGTGAGTCTAATCATTCCCTGCAACGTTTTTACTGTTAACACTGCATTTTCAGAGAAATGTAGTGTTTACATTGCTGCCTAGGGACACCTTCAGTGGTCACTCAAATTGCCACAAGAGGTTCTTCCTGGGGCAGTGCACACAGCAGTGATGTACTGACGTTGTTCAGCTTCTCCACTCTCTGCATGGAGACGCTGAAGATTCCCCATAGAGATACATTGATTAAATGCTTTTCTATGAGGAGATGCTGATTGGCCAGGCCGACATTTGGCCCACCTCCTTGACAATCTCAGCCAATCCAATGCTTTCCCTATAGGATTGGCTGATATTATCAGTTCTGATCATGTCAAACAAAGAGGCAGATTTGCGTGGCGCTGGGAATAAGGTAAGTTTTCTTAAATTTTAAGTGGGCAAGCTACCTTAATGGTGGTTTTTAACCCTATAGGGTCAGGAATATGTTTGTGCTCCTGACTCTATTGTGTTCCTTTCATTGTTTTTTTTTTTTGTTTTTTTCTGTGCGCTGCAATTTTCATAAAACACATAAAGAAAAGTAGGCAAAAAATGATGGTTATCTCCGGACTATAGGTTCCCTTATAGCAAAGGGATCACTGCCTCCCCTACTTTGCTTAGTAAAATAAAAGATTATTTATTAATGTAAGAATTGCCAGGAATTCCACGTGAAAATCTAATTTAAGGCCAAAATAGTTGACATGAAAATAAAATAGATTTTAGACCATTTTTCTAATTCAATATTGTGCCCTAAATGTTGGAATTCACTTTAAATTCCTGGTGAATAACGATGACAACGTTGCGACACTGTTATGACACACACAGCACTAGGATGGAAACTGGCGTTTGCTGTTACGCAAGTTCCCATATAGTGCAGTTTGTTTTGCAATCTGACAGCCAGTGTGCAATTCTTGTGAGGTACACAATATTTTTTTTATTTTTTTTTTTAAATATGGTTTCTGTTAAGTCAGATAAAAGCAAACATTTGAGTTGCCTTATTCAGTTGCCACACAGCCACTACAGTCTCTTCCACGAACTCTAGGTCGCCTAACTGACTCTGAACATCCTCTCGCTCTGCATAAGGACATCCAGCGCCAGTTAAATCCCCATAGGGACGCATTGAGTCAATGCTTGCCACTCCTGCGGCTGGGGAAGAAGCTGTCTTTACTTTAGATATACCCCAATGCAAAAATGCATTAATAAATGCATGCATGTTTTCATTGCAGTATAGCTACTAAAAATATTTTATTTATTTAAAAAAAAAAAAAACAAGTTTTATGTTTCTTTAACCCCTTAACGCCGTTACAGCGTTCTATGCCGTCCCGCTTTAATTGGGCTTTAAAGCCGTTGCGGCAGCATAGAACGCCGTAACGGCTGCAGCCCCCAGAGCGCCCGGGATACTTATCTACCCGGCGCTCCGCTTCGGGAGGACTGCCTGACAGACCAGGCAGCCCTCCCAAGGCAAATGAGGCCCCTGGGGGCCATGTGATCGCTCTCAAAGAGTGATCACATGGCCCCCTATAGCTGGCTGTGGATCTGCCAGCAGGGGGACTGTCGTCTGAAATATCAGACAGTCCCCCTGCTGGTGGAAAGTTAAAAAAATAAATAAAATAAATTATATTTACAAACATATAATGTGTGTGTGTGTGTGTGTGTGTGTGTGTATATATGTATACATTTTTATGTCTGATCCTGATGAAAAAAAAAAAAAAATTATATATATATATATATATATATATATATATATCTCTATCTATATATATATATCTCTCTCTATATAATTTTTTTTTTTTTTTTTCACATAAACGTTTACATTGGTATACACGTAGAATTTTTAAATACCTATAAATGCATGTATATTTAAGTAATCTTTTAACATAATTATGTGATTTTGATTAATTAAAATTTGATTGACATGCCTGACCGCACAGGGAGAAAGTGCAGAGAACTTAATTCGCAAGCACTATATTTGACCCTGTAACTCTCGACACCAAAAAACCTGTACGTAGAGGGTACTGTTTTTCTCTGGAGACTTTGCTGAACTCAAATATTAGTGTTTCAAACTGGTAAATTGTATTACAACGATGATATTTTAAGTAAAAGTGAATTTTTTTGCATTTTTTTTTACAAACGAATGGCACTTTTATGGACTATGTTATTGTTGTAATATGTTTTACTGTTTTAAAACGCTATTATTTGTATTTAGTGAAGTCTCCCGAGAATAACAGTACCCCCCATGTACAGGTTTTATGGTGTTTTGGAAAGTTAGTGAGTCACATATAAGGCTTGCATTTCATTTTTTTGACATTGAAATTTACCAGATTGGTTATGTTGCCTTTGAGAGTGTGTGGTAGCCCAGGAATGAGAATTACCCCCATGATGGCATACCATTTGCAAAAGTAGACAACCCAAGGTATTGCAAGTGGGGTATGTCCAGTCTTTCTTAGTAGCCACTTAGTCACAAACAAAAGGAAAAAAGCATCTACAGGTGGGGGCTGTCAAAAACCAGACTAATCCACTGCAGCCTGTAGAAAATCACACCTTATAAGACACTCCAGAAGTGTCTTGGGGCTTGACCCCTAATAAAAAGAACTATAAGACACTGAAATTATGAGTATCCTCTGGAAAACTAATGACCAAACAATAATGAATGTAAATAAATGCTATACAAAATAATAATAGATGGAAATATACACCATAGAAATACTATAGAGCGATCAAATGGAAGAATAGGGGCCAAGTGGCTTGCCTCCTATCCTAGAGTCTCTAAAATAGTCGCTGAACTTCGCAGACTTAGACTTTAATATAATCCATAGTGGTCAATGTCTGCAATTAATATCCGCTACACTTGAAAATACAAGGAGACTATAGGAATATACTTATACCCGGTGGGGTTCAAAAAAACGCTCAAAGTAATGTAAAATGTATAATGACTTGCATCACTTGATAGTGAGGTAGAAAGTATATAAATTACTTAGAAAAAAATAATAATTCATTTCGAGCAAAATGTCAGGCTGTATCAGAGTACCAATACTTCCCTACTACAAGGATGGCAATTAGAGATAAATAATGATCAGTGCTGTAAAGCATAATTTAAAAAAAAAAAACACCATCCCTGTATAGCTAAATTCTGAATATTTAATCGATACATTTAAACAGTAAAGAGTATCAATATAGCGATATTAGTGTGACTAAACGCTTATATATTAAATAACCACATAGATAAATTGTATCCAAATCAGCCTTTAGTATATGAACTCCACTAATCTAGGGTATAAGACAATAGACAGAGGTGAAAAAGAAAGTGATAAAGTGTGCTAAATGTGCAGAGCCATACTTAGAGTGTTGGTTGCCTGCACATTGTGATAGAGTGCCCTGTGAAGTGAGAAACAGTGGGCACCGAAACGCGCATCGGGTTTAGATGGATTTCCCACTGTTTTCTCGCACTTCACTCCTATGCTAGAACGACAAATATTCCCCAAACGGAATTATGTATTGTATATTTATTTAGCTGTTAGAATTGTCTGTAGCAAAGAGAAGTGCACATCCCACAGGATCATCGTGTTTATTAAAATTTGAAGCAACTGATGAAAGTCAAAACAGAGAACACGGCATAGTTAGTCTGTACAAACTCCAAATTTTCCAGAATGAAAAACAGACAAAAATAGCTGATCTGGAATAATTCTCCATCTCACCATAGTCACAGCTATTTTTGTCAGTTTTCCATTTTGGAAGCAATTCATAAGAAATATCTTGGATTGTGACTGGCCAGGGGAGGGGCTTGAGATACATATTTGCATGTTCTGTTGATGGGTATTAAGTTACAGAAAGCGTATCTGTTTGCTGTTGCGGCCTCTCCTCCAGACTTCAACCTATTTAGTATATCTGCTCTTTACTGCAGTCTGTCCTATTGACCAGCAATGTTTTACTGCCCTCACTGCACCCTTTATGGTGCCTCACTCACCCTTTTATAATGCTGAGAAATGTGTTTACTTTACCCCTCATTTGCACTTACCTTGAATTACAGTTAAAACAGCCCTGCTATAATGTCCAGTGGTGTGTTTTACTGCCCTCACCGCGCCCACAGCCATGGTGCCAGAAGGGGATTACTGCCTCACTGCACCCACTTTTGAGCCAGTGGTGTGTTTACTGCCTTTCCTGCACCCTCCCTTGAATTTTCCCAGTGCTGCGGGTTTTGCACTGCTCTTCCCTGACCCTTTTAT